GACAATGAAGAGGATCAATTGAGAAGAGTTAGCAGTACAAATGGAAAGCTAATGAAAAAGTATGAGAACGAGTGACATGAACGATAGGATGACTTTGTTATGTTGAAAGACAAATATGTTGGTATTTTTTTACTCCTACCGCTGGCAGCATCGAAGTAACATTAAATTACTTCGTAATAGCACTTTTAAAAACGCAGACCCACCTTGTAATGATGCCGGATATGGGTGAAATGCTGCTGACATTAATGTTGGTTGTTGTTGTGGCTGCATTTGATAGGCTGTTTGTGTTAAATTGATGCCAGGCGGAATAGTTGGTGTTTTATTCAATTGTTGATTTTGTGACTGTGACTGTAGTTTATTCGGTGTAAAGTTGGCGGATGTTGTCGATGTTTGCGGTTGTTGTTGTAGAGATGATGTTTGTTGATTATTATTCAAATGTTGCGCACGATTTGATAGCGATGGTTGTTGTTGTTGTTGTTGAGGCTGCGTTTGACTTATAATAAAGCGTGGTTGTGCTGGACTCAAATTCATCATGTAAGGACCAGAATTCGCATAATCGATTATTGGAAATCCATTTTGATCATAAGATGACTGATCCAAATTAGTAGGCTGAAATAAAACAGATAGTGTTATTATACATAAAAAGAAAAAAGGTTGACTTCAATACAAAATCAAGAATAAATATAACATTTATTAAAAACACTCTCATAGGTTCCAAGAAGAACATCTACTATTAGTCCTTCGCCCTTAAACTTTCCGTGTTAAAGTTTCCGTTTCACAAAAGAAAGAACAAGTTAAATTCAGAACGGTATTGTAGTGTGAATTCAAATCAACCTGAAACTTTGATAAAAAGTTTAAATAATGACTTATTCTTATATTATATCAAGTTATACCAATATGCGAGTTTATTCACATATTCTCACCTCTTGTTGAAGAGTTTGCTGTGGCATGAACAGAAAATTCATACTGTTAGTATGATGTGACTGAGATGAATTTGTTTTCATTTGTTGAGGTTGTTGTGATATCCTTGACTGCTGCAGCGGCTGCTGACTCATAATTGTCGGTTGTGGAATATTTTCAGAAGTTCGTCTTGGCGATACTCTCACAGCACCAGAATAAGTCGATTGTTGCTGCTGTTCATGATTTGAAACATTAGAATTTGCTCTTTGCTGAGCCGAATTGGACGGAGACGTTAACTGTTGTTGTTGATGCTGATCGATTGTCATCTGTTTCATTGGACTGTAAACAATTTGAGATTGAGAATTTGTGGAAGTCGGATATTGTTGAGAGTGGGTTAAATATGGATGCTGAAGCGGTGGATGATGCACATTTTCATCGAATTCTAAACACGGATAATAGAAGAAA